TTCTGGACAAGGAAATGAAGAGTTCAAGAATGAAGTCAGATTGATTGCCAAACTCCAACACCGGAATCTGGTGAAAATCTTGGGTTGCTGCATTCAAGAAGACGAGAAACTGTTAATCTATGAGTATTTGCCCAATAAAAGCTTGGACTCATTCCTCTTTGGTAAGTCCTCTCTTCTGATGGTCAGAATTTCAGTTCTAGAGAGAGTATTATGGATAATAACTTGAGGAAATCCCCAAATTGGATCCAGATGATACAAAGAGATCACTTCTGGATTGGGGAAAAAGGTTTGAAATCGCGTATGGGGTAGCTCGAGGACTCATGTATTTACACCAGGATTCGACATTGAGGATAATCCACAGAGATTTGAAAGCTAGCAATGTCTTACTAGATGTTGCATTGAACCCCAAGATTTCAGATTTTGGGATTGCTAGGATATGTGGAGGAGACCAAATTGAAGGAAAAACGAAGCGTGTGATCGGGACATAGTAAGTGTTTTTCTTGAACATTAAATTCTGCTTCACTTGATTAGATAGCGAGAAATTAGAACAAAGAAAATGAAAACGGTTCCAACTATTTGCTTTCATACTAACGTTTCAACCTTTAGTTATCTCCACTAAAATTCCACAAGGAAGTTTATATAGTGAATACGATGTTGATTACTTCTATCCTTTTTGGCTTCTGTAGTGGGTACATGGCACCAGAGTATGCTCTCCAAGGCTGGTTTTCAATAAAATCAGATGTCTACAGTTATGGAGTTTTATTGCTAGAGATCATTACAGGCCAAAAAAATAATGGGTGCTATCATAATAACCCCTTTTGCAATGTAATTGGCCATGTAAGTAAGAAAGTGTCATATTATTCAATGCAATGCACAATTTGACCAACCTCTACATTCACATTATGACAATCCAGGGTGCTTGGTATGTGTTCTTCCCAGGTATGGGAGCTGTGGAAAGAAGGAAAATGCATGGACATTGTTGACAAATCAATGGACAAGACATATTCTGATGAAATGGTATTGAGGTGCATTCAAATCGGCCTTTTGTGTGTGCAAAGATATGCATCGGATAGACCAACTATGTCCACGGTGGTTTTCATGTTGGGGAACGCTGATGTATTACTTCCATCCCCGAAACAGCCAGCATTCATCGACGACAGTGCCTACAATGGAGATAATCAGTCGACATGTAACAGAACATATTCTGTGAACGGAGTTACAACTACTGTTGTTGAAGCTCGCTAGTCGCATGCCCTCGCAAGGGAACTGCGTAATCTACTGAAGTTGAGAAATGAGATGCTGTATCGGTAGAAAGATGACACCTAAAGGCTAATCATGTCATATGTGAGCTAACTTCTTGTTCTTGTGCTTATGAGAAAAGTTTATAAGCAGATTAAATACAATAGACTTCTGCTGAAATTTTCCTTGATTTAATAATTGGGCACATTCTGTCTCATAAACAGCGACTTCTACATGTTGCTGCAGCATTTTCTTTCTCCCACAATCAACTAATTTTTGCCGATCTCATTTTATTTTGGCATGAAGTTATCGGATTGCATCTTGAGATATAAAAAATATCATCTACCTTTTCTTTATTTACCTTATTTTTGCATTACAAGTTCACAATAGAGACCTTGCTAGACAGGAATCCTTTAGTTCACCCACAAACTTGAACATGGAAATGAATGAATTAAGAGCGAAGGGTGAAACTGAAACTGACTCTAGGCAAAGGGTCTTCTAGTAAGATACATTTTAGCTCTTTCATTCACTTCTTTGGTTAACAGCTCTTAATGTCACCATAACAAATATAAGTAAATCAATCGTGTTCCTAAATGACACTATAGTTGGTTGACCTTATTCTGTCTGGACCGTAGAGTGTTCCTTCATCTAACTGATTAATCATAAAAGAAAATTTATCATTAGTCTACTAATTTCCAGGTGAATCTGTTATGTCGATTCGTGCTGATATCCTAACAAGGATTGATGATAACAAAAAGACAATCTCTTTCTTTAAGCCTCTTATTTAGCAGAATTGTTTTCTTTTTTTTTTTCCAATTTCTTCCAGCATACTTTCATGATAAGCCCCAGTTTTCCATGTCCCAACAACCTTCCTTTTGGTAAAACTTATCTGCATACAGTAATACAGTATGCCTTTGGTGATGGAAAGAAGACATTTTTATGGCTGGATCCATTGCATCCTTTAGGACCTCTTGTGAATACTTTTCTTACAGAATTTTTATGGCTGGATCCATTGCATCCTTTAGGACCTCTTGTGAATACATTTCTTACAGAATTATGTATGATGTTGGACTTCCTTTTGAAGCAAAAGATGCTGATGTCATTGACAACAGAGCGCGACACTTGCCTGCTGCAAGGTCTGAAGAACTGGTGCAAATTTGGTAACATGTTTCCTAACATAAAGTTGACAGATAGGGTCAAATTACGCCGTCAATTTGACCCCTAATTTTCTAAAACAAATTCATGAGTGGGTTATGAGCGAGACTTTAGGTGTCAACAAAGTGATTAATGAATAAAATAAAGCGGTCGCATTTTAATGAAAGATGGAGGAACATATATCTTTGATAATAAAGAAAACATATATTCCTTTTCACCGTGGGAAATACATCTTTAGGTAAATAACTATTCAAAGGAATAATGAATAAAATCCGCAGAAGATTCATTAGTTCGCCAATTAAGGAACTAGAACATACGGACAATATAAATTTTTTTTAACATAGAAACAAAAAATGTTAGTGACTAATGAAAAAATTATGTTATTAATCCATTCAATGGAAAGCGTAAAAAAGTGATCAGTTAGTCATTTACTTATTTTAAATGGATTAGTGTTATATAGAAAGTGGTCACTTGGTAAAACTAAAAAGGTGATGACAAAATAAGCTTGCGTGAACACTTATTCAATAATGCGGAATTTATAAACTTAATCAATAATGCTAAATTTATAAATTTACTCAACACTTATTCCCTTTTTCACTTAAGAACATAATGCTGACTTTATAAACTCATTAAAAAAGTGATTAGTCAACAAAATATTTACACAGTATAATTTCTATTAAAAAACGTAGAAACAAAAAATGTAAGTTTTCTCATTTTTAGACGTGGGAAAAGCAATTAGTTAATTACTACAAAATGAATAATCATTCCACTTATCTACAATTTAAAATGGATTCACTTAGTATGTCAACAGTTCATTAGAGAAAAGTACAAACTAATGACATAAAAAATTTCGGGATTACTTATTCAATAAAATGGTGCAAAATAGAAACTGTTAAAAAAAGTGACTAGTTAGTGATTTGACAAAATAAAACAGACCCACAAAAAATATAAGCTGATGGGAACTAAGAACATAAAGGATGGAGAAACATATATTGATTTTTCATTTCTAGATGTGGAAAAATATAAGCGGTCTACTGGGATTCTTTCATCTGGGACTGTCATATTGCACCGCGCCACGGTTTTTTGATGTGGTTGATGGCCTTTAATAGGCTTCCCACGCAGGTCTTCCTACTGAACTATCATAGAATATCTGAAGGTTTATGTGCCTTTTGCCACCTTAGACCAGACTCGGTCAATCATTTATTCTTTGGGTGCATTGCTACGGGATCCCTAGCGCAATATTGGGCTACTAATTGTCACCTTTCTTGGCGTAATGGGTCCTGGCAACAGAATCTCCGATGGGGTGTTCGTTTCATTGGTGGAGATAGCTTTCATCAACGTATCTCTCGGTTTGCTCTTGTGGCATTGTGCCACCTCATCTAGATTGAACGGAATAATATTCTCTTCAGGAATGGCACCCATTTTATGCCTGCTCTCTGCAACGATCTTGCCAAGGTAGTTAGAGACAAAGGCCTTTCTCTCAAAGCGGTCCAAGACAATCCTCGGAATAAAAGGATTCAAGCCAGTTGGGGCATATCTGACTCCATTTTTAGCTGACCTCCTCTTGGAGTATATGTGTTTGTCTTCTGTTGGCTGCCTGTTAGCCTTCCTTTTATTGCACTTCTTGTGCTTTCTGTATTAGCCGCAACACCTTTGTACCGGTCGGGACACTCTCTGTCTCCTCAGGTACGAGGTTTTTGTGTTCGGCCTCCTTTGCTGTAAGTTGCGCGTTGAAAAGTTATATACTACTTACTTTACGAAAAAAAAAAAATTATACATGTAAAGAACACAAGTGATTGAAAGATGATCCCAAAGATGGCAGGTTTAGTTTGTGGTGGTTTACGGCTTCTTCGTTGGTGATGCTGTGCCCATGTTTCCTTCCATATTGGTGAAGTTCAAGTAAACACAACATTAAAGACGCTTCAATCGCCTTCCATAGTCAGTCCAATGGTGTAAATTGCCGAATTGAAGGGGAGTTGCAAGGGCATTCCAATGGTGCCAACTCCATGAGCAATAATGTTCAATTGACTTGGACTTTTGGGTTCGGAAAAGCAAACATCAAGTTCCTACGACGTCATAACTTATGTATGACACTCATTTGAGAGTTATAACTTTTTTTTTCTGATTACTTGAGTGCCATATAACTTTTCAATCAATTACTTGAAATGTCATAACTTTTTAAAAACGTTCCCCACAAGTGCTATACCAAGTCAGATTTCTAGCACTTGAGTGAACGTTTTTAAAAGGTTTTGGCACTTAAGTGATCAATCAAAAATTGGCACTCAAACGAATATTTCTTAGAAATTATGATATTTGTGGTGTCCTTATCCTGACTTTGGGGCGGGTTTTTCCAAAAGTAGAAGGTAGAGGATGTGACTGGCCAAGTAAATGAAGACTCTACCCAACCTGTGTGAATTTGCGTCTGTCCAGGAATGAAGCATCTCAATCATCGGCAGGCAAAAAGAAATAAATAAATAATGAATAAAGGAGCACCCAGAGAGGGAAGAAGAAGAGTCGAGCATGGACAGTTGATGTCAAAGTCGCCGCTTCACGGTACAGTTTGAATATTGAATTTTCAATGGATAAGGATGGTAAAAAATGGGTGGTTCCTCTCATCAATTGAAACCACGACTACATCGAAGTTTCTGTTTTTTTGGTTTTAAGCAAAAGCCATATATCTCTGCTTTCTTGCCTGAAACATAAGCACCCTGCATCCCCGTCTAAGTACAACATGAACACTCCAACAGTGTCATTACACGTCCCGTTTTTATTTCTTCTGCTGCATTTGATTAATTCTTTGGACACCCTTGCCCCAAACGATACCGTGAAAGATGGTGATGTCTTGATCTCCCAAGCAAGAAAATTCGCTCTCGGTTTCTTCAGCCCAGGTAATTCAAGCTTGCATTACGTGGGGATTTGGTACTATGGACAACCGGAGCAAACCATCGTTTGGGTTGCTAACAGAGAAAATCCCGTGAACGATACTTCAGGAGTTCTTTCATTTGATCGTCATGGAAACTTAGTGATCCGTGAAAACAATGGGAGCTTGCCCATTTGGTCAACCAATGTTTCCTCCACTAATTTAAGTGATTCTAATACTGCTCAGCTTTTGGATTCAGGTAATCTGGTTTTGAAACATGATTTGAGCAAAGTGGTTATTTGGCAGAGCTTTGATTATCCCACAGATACCTTTCTTCCATCCATGAAGCTTGGGTTGGACCGGAGAACTGGTTTGAACTGGTTCCTGACATCTTGGAAGTCTGAAGATGATCCAGCCCCGGGCAGTTATTCATTCAAGTTTGAACCAACAGGGTACCCACAGTCGTTCCTTTACAAGGATCGAACTCGATATTGGCGGGGCGGACCAATAATTGAGAATCCTCATGGTGCCGATCCCTCGATGCCTAAAGATTTCAACTATACCGTCACAAATGTGAGGAACACGACGGAGGTTTCTACGATGTATGGCACATCGATTATCTCTAGGTATGTGGTGCAGGAGTCAGGGTCGATTAAATACTTCGTATGGCATGACGAAGAGCAGAAGTGGAGCGAGTTTGCTTACTATCCAAAGGAGCAGTGTGACTACTACAGGAACTGCGGGCCTAATGGTAACTGTGGTGCAAACACTGCTGATCAGTTAGACTGCACATGCCTGCCCGGCTTTGAGCCCACGTCCCTGGGCAAATGGCACCTAAAGGACGCATCAGACGGGTGCAAGAGGAGGCAAGGTGCATCAGTGTGTCGAAGTGGGGAAGGTTTCGTGAAGGTGCAACAGGTGAAGTTGCCGGACACTTCAACAGCACATGTCAACATGAGCCTGAGCTTGAAAGAGTGTGAGCAGGAATGCTTGAGGGATTGCAATTGCACAGCTTATTCGAGTGCAAGTAAAAGTATGGGGGAATATGGATGTCTCAAATGGTTTGGAGATTTAGAGGATACAAGATCATTTTCAAACTTTGGTGAAGATTTATATGTGCGGGTCGATGCAATTGACTTAGGTACTCATTGCTAATATCTACTTCTAGTACTTTTGCTGCTGTTGTGGGGTTTCTTGTCCCAATTTGTCCTGATCTCTTGTCTTGACGAAACTGTTTGCTTCTGATAGTTCATTTTATAAACTGCACTTGTTGCATTCATTTCCATAACATTTGCGCGTTCCATGTCATTGGCACACTTCTTGTGCCTTCTTTTACAGCTCGCCATAGGAAAAGGAGTATGCTTGTCAAGAAGGCGGTGGTAGCAACGGTATTGGTATCTGCACTGGTGTTGCTGCTCTTGGGCTCCCTTATGTACTGCCTTCTGTTGAAGAGGAAAAGAGGTCTGGTGATCTAGCCTTGATAGAAGCTTTTTCTGCCATATACATAACTCAGTCTGTTTTACAAGTAGGCTTTTACTTCAATGTTTTTTTTTTTTTTTTTGGTAAGGCCTTTTACTTCAATGTTCAGGTCTAAGATATCAATTAAATCTAAACTAAAGCTAATGATGTTAGGCTAATGGGTGGATGATTTCTATACTGAAAACCTTGATCAACAAAGCTGCACAGACAATGCTTGCCAGTCAGATAATGCAGTATTGTGATTGAACTTGAAATCGAGCATATGTGAGTTCATCTTAACGAACGAGTGATAAGGTCATGGTTGAAGGGAAAATTTATATGGTTCCTTCCTCGACATAAAGTTCCCCAAATTGGACGAATGGCAAACAAAGAAGCATTACAGAATTGCTTTCATTTTCTTTCTTAAGCATTTTATTCGACTGTCTGACAGCAGATAGAAGAGGGCTTACCCCAAGCTCAACATATTTGGACGCACTTCCAGGTCGGAAAGACCTCGACAGCAAAGGGAGACGAAAAACAGATATACCAGTCTTTGATTTTGGAATTGTAGCTGCAGCCACAAGCAATTTTTCCTCTGTCAATGAGCTCGGCCAAGGCGGTTTTGGATCTGTATATAAGGTAATTAATCTCCCTATTCAAGCGAATTTAAAATGGTTATTGGATATTAAATATGCGTCTTCTACCAACTTCACATGTCTGTCGCTTATGAGGATTGATGTCCTCGAATAAAATGCTCGAAAGCGAGCGAGTTTATTGTAAAGGACCTTTTTCTATTTTGAAAAAATAGAGCTGTGTCCTGTGGCGACTCTACTCTACCCGTCATCACAAATCCAGGCAGTGACTAACAAATGACGAAGGAGAAGAAGTAGAGAACAGCACAAGTCATGTTGCTTCTTTATTTTTCTAGGTCGCACCGCATGTAATGAGTGTTACCAACACATTCTCCCAGAAAGTTTAACTACCTAATATATCTTAAAATGTACTCATAACATCTTTTGAGCCATCGGCTTCATCTGATAGGTCTAAATAATAATTCTTGTGATGAATTCATTTCATAGGGTGTGATGAATAACGGAACAGAAATAGCGGTTAAAAGACTCTCGAAACATTCTGGACAAGGAAATGAAGAGTTCAAGAACGAAGTCAGATTGATTGCCAAACTCCAACACCGGAATCTGGTAAAAATCTTAGGTTGCTGCATTCAGGAAGACGAAAAACTGTTAATTTATGAGTATTTACCCAATAAAAGCTTGGATTTATTACTTTTCGGTAAGTCCTCTTTTCCAGTGGCGAGAATTTTGGTTCTACAACTAGTATTATAGATAATAACTCGTGGTAATCCCCAAATTTGGTCCAGATGAAACAAAGAGATCACTTCTGGATTGGGGAAAAAGGTATGAAATCGCATATGGGGTAGCTCGGGGACTCATGTATCTACATCAGGATTCGACCTTGAGGATAATCCACAGAGATTTGAAAGTTAGCAATGTCTTACTAGATGTTGCATTGAACCCCAAGATTTCAGATTTTGGGTTAGCGAGGATATGTGGAGGAGACCAAATGGAAGGAAAAACAAAGCGTGTGGTCGGGACATAGTAAGTGTTTCTTGAGCATTCAATACTGCTTCACCTGATTAGACAATGAAAAATTAGAACAAAGAAAAAGAACTCAGACCAACCATTTTCTTTCTTTCATACTAAAGTGTCGACCTTTTGTTTTGTCCCCCAAATTTCAACAAGGAAGTTTATGTGGTGAATGAGATGTTGATTACTTCTCTCGTTTTTGGCTTCTGTAGTGGGTACATGGCACCAGAATACGCTCTACAAGGCCGGTTTTCTATAAAATCAGATGTGTACAGTTATGGAGTTTTGTTGTTAGAGATCGTCACAGGCCAAAGGAATAGTGGGTGCTATCATATGAACCCCTTTTGCAATTTAATTGGCCATGTAAGTATGAAACTCTTGCATAATTCAACGCTATGGACAATTTGACCAGTCGCATTGTCACAATCCGAAGTGTTTGGTATGTGTTATTTCCAGGTATGGGAGCTGTGGAAAGGAGGAAAATGCATGGACATTGTCGACAAATCAATTGACAAGACATATTATGAGGAAAAGGTATCGAGGTGCATTCAAATCGGTCTTTTGTGCGTGCAAAGATTTGCATCGGATAGACCAACTATGTCCACAGTGGTTTTCATGTTGGGGAACGCTGATGTGTTACTTCCATCCCCGAAACGGCCCGCGTTCATCGACGAGAGCGCCCACAATGGAGATATTCAGTCGACATGTAACAGAACATGTTCTGTTAATGGAGTTACAATTACTGCTGTTGAAGCTCGCTAGTCACATGCCACCACAAGTGAACTGCGTAATCTACTCAGCTTGGGAAATTGAGATACTCCCTGTATAGCTAGATAGATGGAACCTAAAGCCTAATCGTGTCGTATATGAGCTAACTTGTAGCTCTTGTGCTTATGAGATAAGTTGATATGTAGATTGGATACAATATACTACTCTTTAAAATTTCCTTGATTTATTGATTGAGCTCAATCTGTCTCTTAAACAGAGATTTGTACATGTAAATTGCTGTTGCCGCAGCATTCTCTTTCTTTTGCAATCATCTAATTGTTGTCCTAACTCATCTTATGTTGCAGGAAGTTATCAAATTGCATGTAGAGATGAAAAAGAAGCCCTTTTATCTTTTCCTTTTTCACGTTTTTTTTGCAATAAAAGTTCATAATAGAGACCTTGCTCTCAAGAGGACAGGGATCATTACTTCACCCGCAGACTTGAACGTGGAAAATTAATGAATTAAGAGCGAAGGGCGACACTGAAACTGACTCTAGGCAATGGGTCTTCTAGAATCATACGTTTTACCTCTTTTCAGTCACTTCTTTGGTTAATAATTCTTAATGCCACACCCCCTACTCTACAACTACAGAGGCAATGACACGGCTGTCCTTCCATCGGAAGGACGCAACCTTAAACATAATCATCATCAATGTGTTATCAATATATATACATCCATGTCACGCCCCGTACCCCACGAAGCGCGAGCATCCCACATTCGGTCGTTTGACTGCGACGTCCTAGGAAGCATCGCCGACCCACACCCATACAGAGATCAAACACAAGCGGAAGCATAAAATAAACAAACCCAGATAACTACGATATGAGCCAAGGATAGCCATACATCAAACGCCATCATAGAAAATAATTACACATTTATATTACTATTAAAAACCCTTTGTACAATATTTACAAGTACAAACAAAAAGGCACACATGATCAGTAGCCACTTGGTCAAAAGGGATAAGTGGCTAGGGAGGTCAGGCTAAAACTCAGGGGGAGGGCTACAGTCCAAAAAGTAACGGCCCCCACTACTAACTAAGGACATTGGGTGACCCTAAGGTTCCCAATCAGGATCGGATGACTCGGAAGAATTCTCTGACAACTCCTTGGAGGCGTCCTCACTAGACTCTGACTCCTCCTCTTCCATCGCCTGGGCTCGCTCATCCTCGGAGTCCGTCTCCAACTCCGGGTCAAGGTAAAGCTCGAACCCCTCCTCATCTGATCCCAGCTCTGTCACCTCTCCGTCCTCCTCTACGTCCTGCTCCATGGCCTTGGGTTCATCCTCCTCCTCATCCATCGGCTCGGGGTCCTCCGCTAGTACATCAGGCTCCTCATTCACCTCCTCCTCCTGCATCATCCACTCGGGTGTAACCTCAGGGTCGATCACCTCACCATCAGCTATAATTGGCTGCATCAACCCAACATCATCGACTGGGATATCAAAGGTCCTGAGTGGCTCTCCCACATTTTCATCGGCATTCCGGTGGCACCATGCCACGTACTCCTGCTTCTGGTAAAAATACTCGCCTATCTCCACATATACTACTGATCGATACCTCACGAAAGCCTCCCCATTACCTGAGGGGTAGGTACTGGTATACTGCCGAATCTGTACAGGGATCCCAAAAAGAGTCGGTGGTCTCTCCATCCTCACGGTTGGGGGTCTGAAAAGTTTCGGTTTACACAACCGTGAGACGAATCTCAATGTGTTCAACCCCTAAACCTAGGCTAGGCTAGCATGCAATCTCCTGACCGGAAACAAATATTTAAATCACAATACAACAATAATCAAACCATTCTCTGACCCTGCAGGTTAGACAGATCAACATATAATAGTCACGGCACATACGTGGCACACATTATCACACGTACGCCAATCACATGCTCATGCACCGAGTCTCACACACTCGCATGCCAGTCCATGCATATTCATACATGCAAATGTCGTCGACAGGTCACGTGCATTTTCCGGCCCACTGGCCCACACTGGCAATCGCCAAATTTTATTATTTATTACGACGACTCGAGTCAACAACATTCACGGCCCGGTGCGTCTAGCCTGCTTCAAAGTGCATGAGGCGCAGCAACCGATCTGGCCCAGTGTGTCTAGCCTGCTTCAAAGTGCATGAGGCGCAACACTGATCTCCTTACGAACCAGAGCCTGCTTCAAAGTGCATGAGGATGGTCGTCTTCCGGACGTATCGGGCATCGTCCTGCTTCAAAGTGCATGAGGACGGTATCTATCCGAAAGTTACGACCCGAAGGTCTTTAGGTGATCACACAACTCATTATTATCCGAACCCAGCGTATGACGCTTCAGGGTATTCTAGGTGATCACACACTCATGGCAGGCACGCATTCTCGCATAATTTCCCCACATGCCTCACACTAGGCATACATAATGCGTGTCCATGTTATGCAATGCAATGCACCATGAGCACCAATGAAATTCAAATACTCAATATCACAACACGTGCTCAATTGGCCCAATTAGTACCGTGTGGCCCAATGTGCGATTCACAATTCAATAATTAATTGCAAGCCAAACAGTAGCCAGTCGCACTCCACAAAAATCAGCCACACCACATGCGACATAGCAGTACTCAATAAATCACAATTAAGCACGAATTACATACAATCAGTCAACCTGGACATACCCGGCAATTCCACCAATGGGCTCCTAAATTGGCCAATCAATCCAATTATTCTTCCCAATAAATTCTCATTGATCCACTACATTTTTCCCGATAATAATTCCTACCAATCGGTACACTAATTCCTCTCAGCATATACTAGTATTCCTAAACCAGTCCAGAAAAATGCACTATCAGTCCTAATCCGGATTTAGGAATTTTACTCACTTAATCCAAGGTCACGATGATGGGGAACGGCAGCCGATCACTGGTGAACAGTGAAACCGGCGGCGGAATTCCAGGCGACGGCGTACGGATGGTGTGAACAGTGATCGTACGGATGCGGTGAATGCATCTCGACCGCACGGACATCGCACGGACAGGTGCGGTTGGCGTCGCATGCCGTGGCTGGACGGCCGCCGGGTAGCGACGGAACGGCGATCCGAAGCCCAGCGCAAGCTCCGGGCGGCCCTATTTTGCCGGGACGGGAAAAGAGAGAAAAAGAGGAGGAAAGAGAGAGAAATAGATAGAGAAAGGGGCCGGACAAGGGTGAGGCTGAGTTTCACGCCCCATACCCCACGAAGCATGAGCATCCCGCTTATAGGTCGAAATAGTAGTGCGACGCTCCCAAGACACGTCGCCGACCCAAAACCCAACACAGAGATCAAGCCACAAGCGAAAGCACGATATATAAAATAAATATATATCACCCAGATAAAATAAACACGAGCCAAGAATAGCCGCACCGAGTGATCAGCAAATAAAAACAACTATACTCTTTTATAAACATATAGAAGCTTATACAAAATCCATTTACAAAGAGCCAAAACCAAAAACGAGTCGCGGCCAAGACGAACAAAAAGGATCAGTGGCCGGGGTACTAAACTGAGCTAAGATGGGCTTCAGTCAAAAAGATATAGCCCATGCTAAAGTATAATACCTAATGTACATATTTCCGTCCCCCACTAGGTGTACAGACATCGTCTTCTCAATGAAGTGGGGAATCCCAAAACGCACGAGCGGCTTCGCCATCTTTACTGCCGGGGGTCTGAAATATCAATTTTCCAACAACCGTGAGATAAAACTCAGCAAGTACAAAACCCCTAATCCTCAACTAGGCTAAAGTGCACCTCCAGACAGGTAAATCGACACAATAAATTCATGAACCAGTAAATCACTATAAATTCGCCCGGGCTCACAGCCCAATTCGTTATCTCAGCCCTGCAAGTTAGGCATTTGAATTCAATATGAATCATGCACAATTATAACGACCCGAAGGCCCACAATTTGATAAAACGACCCGTAAGCCCGACTCGAAGGCCACAATTGAATATAACGACCCGTAAGCCCGACCCGAAGGCCACAATTGAATATAACGACCCGTAGGCCCGACACAAAGGCCACAGTTGAATATAACGACCCGTAGGCCCGACCCGAAGGCCATAATTGATAAAACGACCCGTAGGCCCGAATTTGAATCACTTCAAACATGTACATCAATCCGCCCAATTCTAATCAATCAACATCATGATATATGAATTATAAGCGAAGGCACTCAAGATCAATTTCCAACACCAATATGCCAAACACCCTCATTCTCGATCTAGACGCATTCAATGCACCCTCGGCACATTCAATTTATTTCCATTCTAACCCAAACAATTCAACATTGATTCCGCACATTTATTACAAATCAATTTAATGCGTCTAAGGCCCGCCTTGGGCAAATCGATCTCGATCTCCGCTCTCACCATCTAGGGGTCTTCCAATAGGGTTTAGACAAGTCCCAACTCAACCCCTAAATTGGCAAAATTCCCGCCATTAATCCGTCATCCATTAAATACTCAACTTGGACAAATTAAGGCATTTTCGGTACTGAATGAACAGTACCAGGGCAGATTATGCCTTAGGCACTAAATCACAATTAAACAATCTCATTAGGGCCTAATCACATACCCTAACCATCCAGCCACCAAACACACTTAATTAAGCCTTGTCTAAGCCTAATTAGCCTCTCAAATGCTGAATTCAAGACCTTAATCCATGAACCCACTTAATGCACAACTTAAGCCATTTTATTGCAAATTCGATCTGGTGAACGATTACAGGTCAATGAGACTAATTAGGCCCTAATTCACCTCTAAACCATATCATTAAGCACTAGTTAGGTCCCCTAATCACCCCACACAACATTAAACCTAATTAGAACCTAATTAAGCTTAATTAACCTCCTAATTACCCTCTAAAAAGCACAATTAGACTAATTAAGGGTTTAGGGGTTTATACTCGCCTAAATTTGATTCGAGGCGACGGGAACGGGCGGTCGATTACCGACACGCGGTGAGAATCGACGGCGGCGTTCCGGGTGCAAGTCGGCGGTCACGGCGGCGACTGGGGATGGCGAATAGTGGCTGGTCTTCTCTCGTTGGAGGCCGGAAACGGGCCGCGGGTGGCCGACTGAGAGGAGAGGGAGGTTGACGGTGGTGAGGGCGTTATCGGCTCGCTTGCAGGGACGGCTCCCGCGTGGTGTTCAGGCGTGAAGAGCAATTTC